TTTGTGCTGACTGTGAGTGAATTCGCATGAAATGCAATGAATGCGTTTGTTTTTGTGTACTTAGATTATACTTCTTAGTTAATTCAATGTTAATCCTACTAACGACAGCACGTGAATTATGCTGCTTTGTATTTTTCGTTCGTTCACATACACAATCGACAAGTTTAATCATTTTTATGAATTTAGAATACAGTCCACTGGATAGAATATTTCTTTTTTTGCTGCATAACTGCTAACCACACTCTAGGTCGTGAAGCCAAACATTCACTTTAATTAAAGCATTAGCTATTCAAGACCTGAAACCGGACCTGTGCATACAAAAGAGATACATACATTGTCTGGCGCTACCATGGCCAGAGTAAAGTTCTTACTATAATTTTGCTTGTTTCTTTTAATATGTAAGTTCACTATTATTATTATTATTATTATTAATGCTTTTATTATCATTATTATTCCCATCATCTGCATTTTATTACCACTCTATTACTGTTTATTAATAACATTGCTTTTTCATACAGATTTTATACAAAAAAACACTTTATAGCCTTTCCACTAGTGTTCCTGTCCATTCTATACTAGCTTATTGATTAGTCATTATTTCACTCTTGTTAAGACATGCCAACTTCTGTCTCCTTTCTAACTTACAATTAGTCATCCCATCTTACACCTTACATTATGTAGTACAATTTTCAAGGACAAAGTTTACCAGTATCTGATTGGTCAAAAAAATTTCTGTGTTAATTATAATTACGATTGTACAGCAGGTCATGAAAATGAATCGTCGAAATGAACATTTTCTTCTCTGTTTGTGCCTTTTTCTTATGACTTAATATGGGAATATTTCGTTTATTAAATGTATATCAGTAATAAAGTTATTTCTATGATTAGTTTACATGGTTACAATTATTATTATTTGTTTAATTAATTCCACATAGTAACGAAGGTGGTAATAATTTTCAACTTGATATAAAAGTTTGAAGGTACGAATATATAGATCACAAGGGGCTTAGAGAGACAAGATTTCATAGGATTAGAAAATAGTTACAACGTATGCAAAAATTAATATTTGATAACTGGAGAAATAATAGTTTTAAAGGCGAATAAAAGGTGACAGTTGTTTTCAATTTGATATGAATTATAAAAGGCTTAGAGACAAAAGTTACGCAGTGATAGAACGAATTAATTACATGTGTGAACAAAATGCGCATGGAAACAAATTGAAATAATAATAATTTTCAACTTGAAATGTAAGTTAGGTGGTGTGAATATAGATAGATTACAAGAGGCATAGAAACAAAAAATTACACAGGATTGTAAAATGGTTATTTCTATGATTGGCAATAATTAGAAATTAAATAATCAGGGGATATCTTTTTATGAGATTAATGGAAATGACTGAATGAGCTTCTAATATTCATTTAGTAGAGGATGGATATGTGGTATTCTGTTTATTGTAACGTGTATCTTCTTAAATCCTATACTTTATCAAGGCTTTGTTCAAAGTGAACATCTGTATTCTGTGACAAACTATATAGCGCATGCATAAGTTAAGCACGTTTACCATTACAGACAAGTAGATTTATCAGTTTGATTCAAAGTCAGTCCTATACTTGCATATTTGTCAGACATGGGGTAGTAAATATACGCCGAAACGTCGTGTTTTTAAGATTATATCAAGTGTCATTTGTCTTCAAAGTCTTCACATAAGTGAAGCTTTGCAATAAGAAAGGATAAGCTTACTCTGTCTATCTGAAATGAACTCTTTCAGGGATAATATCTTCAGGATTTCATCATGAGGTGACATCGGTTGGAGAAAAATTGGGAAACCAACCGGGAGTACTGGACAACTGTTTCGTCTTAGTTTTGGACTGACTTTTCAGCAGTACGCATCCACGTCAGGAGTTTTGAACCCAAGGGCCTTCTGGGTACAAAGCGAACTAACTCGTAGACCATTAAGTCACTGGGACCTAATCCAATGGCACATGAATTCCAACTCCTGCCAATTCACAGTATAGCGTGACCACTAGCCAATTTCATCAGTGGCGAGTATTTATCCTCACGCTCGACCTGCTTTACCCTACTGATCATGACTTTGGATAAGGTCCAAGTGGCTTAATGGTCTACGAGCTAGTTCGCCTTGTAACCAGAAGGTCCTGGGTTCGAAACTCTTGGGATTGGTACGTACTGCTGAGTAGCCAGTCCAAAACTAGGACGAAACAGTTGTCCAATACTGCCGGTTGATTTTCCAATTGTTCTCCAACCGATGTCACCTCATGATGAAATCCTGTAACCAATCAGTCAAATCCCTACAAACCAATACTTGGATAAATTCCTCATCTAACTTCCACTCAATAATATCCTTTCGTACCTTCATTTATTCACTTTTCTTTTGCTTTCTTCTTTTAATAAACTTTTAGTCAAATAATTCTCTTATTCTAATAAAGCCTTGAAATCGTAAAATTTTGGCCTTAGATTTTGTGATAAACAGAAACTAGTTTATCCCTTAGATACTGATACTGAATTTGAAAACCTATTTATTCAAACAAGAGATCTAGTTCTATCACCCACCCTGGAAGTAGAACGCTTCAAATTCAGTCTGGTGGATTGTTGTTATCAGTACAGAAACCTCAAATGCGATGGTAAACGTTTCTTGACAAAGCAACCCAGAGAAGAACTAAAGAAACTGATAAATGATGTGAGGCTGATAATCACAAAGCCTGATAAAGGATCAGGAGTAGTCCTCCTTGATGGAAACGACCATATTAAAAAGATGAATGATATATTGAAGGCCACACAGAAGTTTCAAAAACTTGAGGAGAAGAATGGTTTCAATAACAAAATAGAGAATGAATTAACCAGAAGTTTCAAGAAACCAAGGGAGAAGTAGATATTTTCGGACAGTTTATGTGAAGAAATCAAGCCAGCGGGCGCCTACACGCCAAGATTGTATGGCCTACTTAAAGTGCATAAGCCGGGGGTACCGTTAAGACCAATACTTGGTTTGCAATGTTCGTTCTACCATGCTTTAGTTAAATGGTTAGTAAATGATCTCAAACTTTTGCATGAGCAGATAGGGAAACATAGCGTCAAAGATGTATTGAATTCGTAGACAAAGTCAAAGATATTAATCTCAAGGATAAAACTATGATATCTTTGGACATAACATCCTCATTCACAAACATAACTCTAGTAGAAAGAGTTGACTACATATGTGAACAAGTTTATAACCAGTCGATAAATATTTACATCCCAATGGAAACCCTAAAAGAATTGTTATTAAGGTGTACCATGGATGTAAATTTCAAATTTGACGGCACACTTTACAGGCAAGTGGACGGGTGGCGATGGGGCCCATTTTGGCTGATTTCTTTCTAAGTAAACTAGAAAATGGACCTTGTCAGAAAGGTCTCATTTTATCACCGGTATACGGATTACACCTTCATTCTTTTTGTGATAACGGTTCTGAGAGGAGTACAATAATTACTGAATTCAATGAAGTACATTGTGTACTTAAATTCACATACGAAGAGGAATTACAAAACAGAATTGCATTCCAGGATGTCCTCCTTACAAGAAAAGCAGATGATAGCATAAAAAGAAATTTGCGTAGAAGAAGTACTTCGACAGGACAATATACACATTTTCACAGCTTCGTTCCTCTCAAGTACAAAAAAAGAAAATTTAGTAGACCCACAGCCACAAAGTTAGAGCTATATGTTCAGAAGAAGTAATTGAAGACGAATTAAACATTGTATATGATACTTTGATTGAAATAACCATCCCGATAAATTTATCAAGAAACACATTACAAAGAAAGCGGAAAAGGACTACTCACTATCCGTAAACAAGAAGCCTCTTTATGTGCGACTGCAATTCAAGGGCGATATACCAAGAGAAATAATTACGAAGAAATTAAGAAAATCAGTTCAAAGAATTCTTAATGCTGCCGAATTACACGTCTTTTCTCTTAACGACCGATGGCGAATCCTCAACTGAAAGGTGAAGTACCTAGACCAGCCACCTCCAATCGAATCTACCGATTCAACTGCGCTTGAGGTGGAGCGAGTTATATTGGCCGTTGCTCTGGGGAATGGATTTTTCATGCTTGCTCAAGAACATCTCCAGTATGGCTAAGTAAAGATGTAGTCAAAACCACCAACAACTCGATATTGGACTATCTGGTGCAAACTGGCCAAAAAGCCAGCTTTGAAGAATCCTTCTCTATCATCATCATCTACCGGGTGCCAAATAAGTTGCCAAAAGCATCCAGGTACCACATGCTCCAAACAGCAGAGTCTATCACAATTCGCCTCAAACAACCAGAGCTTTGAGTTCAAAAGAAGCAAGTCCAGCTAGCCAGTACTACTCCTCCTCTGGCTGGCCTTCAGTGGAAATAATGAATTCACGAATTTGTATTATTATCTTTGCTAATTTTTCTGATATTCAGTGTGTATTGTTATCTTGATGCCACTGAACTGTAATCCACTGATATTATGATTGATTCGGTTTTATTCAAACGACAACATTAATGTTGTTAATAACTGTAGAACCTGATGAAGAGCAGGTTATCGAAAAGAGTATTCTTTGTTCAGTATTCATTCTTTTGATAATTAAATGGGATTAAATGTTGTTTATTATCTACTGTTTGCAGTTGTAATTACTCCCGCTGGAATTAATGAGTGACTATGTGGTGCAGCTTGTTTGTCTAATAACCTTGAGGTCCTGGATATGATCTCTGATAGGCTCGTGGATGTACGTTTCTGATGGCTGCTAAACTAGGTGGAAGCATGTATCCAACGCATCTTAGATTTTAATGTGTCTCCAGCTGGTGTTACGGAGTAACCTAATCAAACTTGAAACTAAACCAGTATAAATTATTCTGAATGTTTCTCACCTTCACTCACGTTTTTTTTTAGTTAATGTTTATTCTTAACGTTTCATTAAAAAAGAAAACGTATTCTACCTGTGCCCTTCTGGTAGGTTAATATGTCTTCACTAACCAGACACAGAATGACCTTGAACGTCTAGACGACTACTCGTCTCATATAGGATGCATAGAATGCCTTAATGATTAGCTGTAAGTTCTACTGATTTTATTCTGACTTAAAAATGTCTTCATTGTCTTTCGTAAACAACTTTTTTTGGTTCAGCGATTTAACGAATTTATTTTCAACCAGCTGGATAGTCGTATTTATATTACGGAAAAAGAAGGCATTATGTAGCACTAGAAATCGCTCAGTCAGTATTGCACATATGATGATAAGAATAAAGATAATTCAAATGGGTTAGAGTTGAAGTGGATGAATTACAAGACTGTTAAAGGTTATTAAATTAGTGAAATGGTATAAATATTTTTTTTTAAATTGTTGGTCAGGTGTTGTCTGAAAAATAAGGATTACAATGTTGTTGGCGAAGGTGAAGTCAAGTGAAATGAATTCAAATGGTAAACTAGAATAAAATGCAAAAACATAACTCTATGACCAAAGTAAAGAAAGGGATTTGACAAAATGTTTTTAAATAAATAATTAAGGTTTTTCTCCGTGTATGTGGCTAGAGTGGATAAAGAGTAAGCTTTTGGAGTGGTTGGATTTAGCCTTGCAAATAACTTTGAAGGATAAATAGTACGTGGAGCTGAATGACCTTACTCTAGAAGGTATTCACAGATTGAAGACTTACTTCATCGTCCTTTGATCACCTTTCATTAACCGAACCGGGTAGTGTTCAGCTACGCGTTTACCCATACAAGCCGACAAAATCATCCACTTGTATACAATCTGTCCAGTATGTACTGAGTGATATATTGTGATTTTGAATGTTTCTTGAATGAAAACAGATAAACTGTTGAAAATATTCTGCGAGACAAATGCCGAGAATTCCATTCTGTATTATAAGTACTGATTTTGGAGTAAAGTATATTATTATTATTATTATCATTATTATTATTATAAGTAGGAGCTATCTGTTTTAATAATTTAGGAATGTGAAATAAATTCTCTGGTGTTTCGGATTACTTTTGCATTTATATCAAGAATAAGTTAAAAATGGCTAGATACCCTTTTGCCTATATACTTATTTGGGTTTCACTGGATAAAGTCGACTTTGTGATATATGTGTACAAGTACCATTTGAATCTACCGAAGTATAAAAAATTATGGAAAGATGGCAAAGTACCTGAGGATTGGAAGAAAGGATACTTATTCAAACTACCCAATAGAGGAGACTTAAGTCAATGCAAAAACTGACGTAGAATTATGCTCCTGTCCATCCTAAGCAAAATAAGAAGCCCCATCATCCTGGAGAGAATCAAACAAGCCAACATGGATGAAAAACTCCGACCAGAACAAGCTGGATTCAGGAGAAACAAGTCATGTATTGAACAAATCGCCACTCTACGGATCATCATTGAACAAAGCTTGGAATGGAAGTCACCCCTCTATCTCACTCAACTTCATCGACTTTGGAAAGGCCTTCGACAGCGTCGATTGAAGGGTGATTTGGGAATTAATCCGCTACTACCAAGGGCTCCCATCGACAATTATACATCTCATCCAACAGTTAGTTGTACGACAATGCTGCGTGCCTCCAAGTAATCCACAACGGGAAACTTACGGAAGCCTTCGAAGTGAGGACGGGCTGAGGCAAGCTGGCTTTCTACTATCGCCAATGATCTTCCTGATTGCAGTAGATTGGATAATGCGACAGACAGCCAGCGGCCAATGAGGAAACAGGCATAAAATGGACTCACACAATAATAGAATTTGGAGGATCGGGACTTCGCCGATGTGGCATATAAGTCTGATTTCCCACAAACTGGAAGATATGCAAGTGGAAAGCAACAAGCTGGCACAAGAAGCATCCAGAGAGGATAGGACTTCAAGTGAACATAGAGAAAACAGATGTAGGTGATGAAGATTCCTGGCCAACACCAACAGCAACAACAACAACAACAAAACACAACAATCAGCCAGCATAAATGGGAGGAACGTGAAAGAAACAACCTCCTTCACCTACCCACCCACCTACATGGGAAGCATCGTTTCAACTACAGGCCGACGGAACTGACGAGGATATCAAAGCCAGAATCGGGAAAGCAAGACAGGCTTTCATTACTCTGAAGTCTGTGTGGAGAACAACAGCACACTGCATCAAAAATAAGATCCGGATTTTCAACTGCAATGTAGAGTCAGTCAGTGCTACTTAACATTCGGATCAGAGACTTGGCCAGCGCGTCATGAAGAGCATCTCAAACAACCTACAGACCTTCATTAACAGTTGTCTTCGCTCAATACCACTCAAGATCAGATGGCTGGCCAGAAAAGATGAGCAACAGGGTGGAATCTTTGGCGGTGAGCAAAGCAACACAGAAGGAACTAATTGTGAAACAAATAGACAGGAAGAAATGGAGATGGATTGGCTGGCCATACACTGAGGAAACCATGAATTGAGTGACATCACTAGACAAGTCATTTCTCGAGTGGAACCAGGCCGAAAGGGAAGCGGGTGGCGAGTTGGTCGTCAATGCATGGGTGAGGGTAATTTGGACGAGGTTATGTGAGGAGGAGATGAAAGCATGTGGTCAGACTTGGAGCGGAGTGAAAATGTTGGCAGGAAACAGGAGGCAATGGAGACTTGGGCGGCTGAAGCCGTATGTTCCTCTAGGAACAAAAGGATATAATAACATAATAAAAAATCATGCCAAAATAGCGCGCAACAGTGAAATTCAACCACTGGTTCATCCATATATGAGATGGTGGAAAAGAATTCATTGGTCTTCACATAATGCCATATTAAAGTTGAACTTGTTCGTTAAATTGCATTTGCATGGTGATAAACTGATTTACTTCATGAATAATTTTTGTCTAAGTGTTAATTTTGATCACAGCTTGATTCCTGACCGTATTTTTCGGTACAGGTATGGAATTTTCAGCATGTGATATCGGTAGCCCAAATTTTGCAGGCCGACCATAGATATGAGGTGTTCGTCGGCAGGGGATCGAACCTCGGACCATGTGCATGAACGGCGAGAGTCCTAACCACTGTGCCACCGACGCATATGGCTTCAGCTGCACCTCTCCATAGCGTTCGGTTCTCTGCTAGAGTTTTATCCTGGCTCCAAATCTGCCCAATTCATCTCTTTTATAACTATCCTGTTTTATGGAGACAATAAAAAACTGTATGTAAGTGCGATTGTTCCCCGGAAGGAGGCTCTTAACTGAACTACTTGTGTTGTTTTTCATTCACTAATTTAAGCTTTTTAATAATCCATATCGAAAACTGCTTATCTGAAATTTATCAATGACTATCTTAATAATTATAGGAATGGTAAATTTTAATATGAATAACACTCTTATATGTATATTCTTTTGAACATCATGTGACTACTACCAGCAGGTTGAAAACATGAACACTTTTCTTAATGCTTCCATTTATGAAACATGATTTACTAGAACAAAGCATAATGTGATCTTATAATTTTTTAAATCAGTGCCTCATATGATCTAATTATCCCCTATCAGCTAATCAAAGTTACATCTCATGGTATATGGTAAATAATTCACGCGCTCAGGTTAACTAACCTTGAACTATATAAGGATTGCTACTTCTAATTAATTGGATATAAAACCAACTGACCAATCATAGTATACAAGCCAATGCAACCAATCAGCTAGTAGTAATTGGCCCAAATGAAAGATTAATAAGAAAATATTGTTTCCGTGATCAAAATACAAAAATATGAGTGGAAAACTTGAAGGTTGTGTTTGCCTAGTAACTGGAGCTACACGAGGCATTGGTAAAGGGATTGCAATTGAATTGGGTCAAGCCGGGGCTATTGTATACATTACTGGACGAACATTAAAGCCAGATGGCAAAAATATTGGCGGTTCTTTAGAGGAGACAGCGGAAATCATAACCAGTGGAGGTGGAGTAAGTTATGCAGTACTTAGGACTTTGATGTAAAGATGTTTATTTCTTCATGAAAATGCATGCAGAAAAGTTTGAATTACTTCTATATGAGAAGTATGCATCTAGATTGGTAAATTTTCTCAGACTGCAGTGATGAGTTAAGAGGTGGAGACGATGGAAGACAGATTTTTCATGATAGATCAAGTTATAGAGATACTGGACTAAGTAACTATGATTTGAATTTGTTTCCTTATAAACATCAAACACTTGTTGATATCAATTAAAATGTGAAGACTGCGGTGATTTAATGTCAGTAAGAAGTTTGAGCATTGTGGATTAGATCAAATAAAGTATATTGTGTGTAAACCGCGGTGATGTTTAGTAGAACAGCAAGTGATGTTAGGGAAATCTCCATTAAACAAATAATTGTCCCAAACAGGCACTATATATTAGCATTTTAATTGATGAATGAGAGATATATGATGAATTCCTCTGTATAGAGGGATGTTATTGTATAAAGCTGTTGATATTATTATTATAACTATTTCAACCTCATTCTTTCAGTCGATAAGGGTAGATCAGGGATGTGAAGTTTGCATGCAATTATCCATTTTTATTGCTAATTGGGAGCAGTTCAAATTAAACCGAAATTCTGTTGTAATTGGTTATTTAATGAACGTTTAAACAAACAAATCGCCTTTGATAAGTACTTTGGTAGATTGTTTTATATAATATGTGGTTATTAGTTATTAATGTTTGCATATATTTAGGAATCTACAAAAAAGGATGCTTGTAGATGTAAATTATTTATTGTTATTATTGTTGTTCCTTTGGGATCCTAGTGGAACATACAGCTACAGCTGCACGTCTCCAATTGCCACTTCTGTCTTCCTTCTGCCGTACTTTTCACCCGCATCCATGTTAGTCCATACTCTTTCAACTCATCTTCACACGATATCTTCCATGTCACCCACCCTTGCACTGACGTCCCACTCGCCGCTTCCCTATCGGCCCGATTCCACTCAAGCAATGGCCTGACCCGCGCGCGATGTCACCCAGCGGCCTCCTCAGCGAGAGACTGTACAATCCATCTCAATCCACTTTCTCCTGCATGTTTCTTGGTTGGCGATTGGTTCTTGTTTTGTTTGTTCCTTCCCATAATTTCTTGTTGGTGATTCTTTCCGGCCCGACCATCTGATATTCAGTATAGAGCCAGCGAAGACAGTTAGTTGTTGATGAAGGTCTGCAACAGGCTGTTAGAAATATTCTTTGTGACCAACCCGCCAAGTTTCTGATCCGTATAGAAGAGCTGACTGACTTGACGTTCGTATTGGAAATCCTACCGAATTTTGTTGCTGATTCTGGCTGAGTGACGAAGATTTCCAGATTAGATTGATTTCAGGTTGATGAATGTGTGTGTTTCTCGCCTTCCCGATTCTCGCCTCGATTTGACATCCTCGTCCGTTCGGACTTCCTGTAGTTGAGACAATGCTCCCTAGATAAGTGAGTGAATGAAGTAACCTCGTTCCAATCCCTCCCACACGTTGATGGTGATTGACGCTGGATGTTTCTGCTGTCGTTGTTATTGTTGGTGGTGGTTGGTTATTTTCATCACCTCCGTCTTGTCTATGTTCACATGGAGTCCTGTCTTCGCCGGCTGCTTCTTCGACCAGTTTGTCGGTCGGTTTCGCTTGTAAGTCTTCGATTTTGTGTGTGTGTGTGACATCAAACATAAATTATCCATGCGCGAAATCCAGGTCTTCTAGGTTTTTCACGTCGGTCCAGGATATCTCTGTCTTCTCGCTTCCCACTCACTGTCTGACGCATAATCCAGTCAGTCCACCACAATTAGGAATATCATTGGTGGGTGATAATGAGTACCCTTGTGTGACTCCTGTGTTTACTCCAAACGCCTCACTGAGTTTTCCGTTGTGGATCACTTGACATGTGCCGCCGTTGTCGTACAGCAGCTGTAGAATAAGGTTGATGAATATTTGGGCACCGTACGCCGTAGTACTCGAGTAGTTTCCAAATTACTTCGCGGTCAACGCTGTCTGGTGAAGGCCTTCTCAAAGTGTATAAATTTGAGGTATAGGTTTGATTGGCATTCCATGCTTTGTTCTGTGATGATGATGATGATGCGTAGAGTTGCGATTTGGTCAGAATATGATTTGCCTTCCCTGAATCCAGCCAGCTTGTTCTGGTCGGAGTTCTGTATCCAGTGGGTCCTCTCCTCTCTCTCCAGGATGACGCCACTCAGGATTTTTTTGGGGGTTGATAGGAGCATGATTCCTCGCCAGTTCTTGCAGAGTCCTAAGTCGCCCTTCTTTGGTAGTTTCCCGAGGTAACCTTTCCTCCAGTCACTAGGCACCTCTCCCTCCTTCCTGACCTTTTGCAATAATGGAGTCAGCATATCTGCTGTCTTCTCTGGGTCCACTTTCAGTGCTTCAGGGGGTATTCCATCTGGTCCATCTGCTTTTCCAGCTTCCAGAAACTTGATTGCATTCAAGACTTCAGCTCTCGTTGGAGGATTGGTGTCAGCTTGCAGTTGTGTGCGCGCTGTTGTTGGTATTTCTGGACGGGTTGCAGGTGACGGTCGGTTCAAGAGTCCTTTGAAATGGTCCGCCCATTTTTTAATCTGTCTTTCTTCCTTGGTGAATGGGTTCCCTTGGCTGTCTTTTATAGTTTTCACCTGTGTTGATCTCTTCCCGGATAGATATTTGGTTATCTGATATAGTGTCCTCAGGTCCCTTTTGCCTGCTGTTTTCTCAGCTTCAGTGGCCAGCTTGTCGTAGAATCGTCTTTTGTCCTTCCTAGCACTCTTCTTCACTTCTTTGTCCAGTGCTGTGTAAGTTGAGCTCAGCGTCTCCTTCTCTTGTCCGTCTTTGCACTGAATTATTTTCTCTTTCACCATTCTCCTCTCATGTATTAGCTTCCAAGTGTCTATTGAGAGCCATTCCTTGACTTGTCTCTTCTTTCTTCCTAAAACCATTGAACACGTTTCGTTGAAAATCACCTTCAGATATGAATTACTGTCTTTTAATTTCAAAATTAAGCAGTACAAAAATACAGACTGTACTCTTTAATGAATTTCTGTCTCAGCAATAATCAGACTTTTAAAATATTTTCTAGTTGTTATGATGGGCATATATCAGCTGAATACTATACAGCTCATTGATGAAAATCCTTCTGTCGACTGGATAATTCCTTCATTAATTGAAGTCATATGAAGATGTAGTCCGAATTTCTGATTTTTACTCTGATAACCGGATGATGTCTGTCAGTGAGCAGCGTCGATCATTATTACATTTCTTGCTGAGCTTCTGAAAAGAATCCTACAGAACCATCTTAGACTTTGCATACGAAAGAAGTTTGTTCTACCTTTGTCTCTCCCTTGCTTGCCTAGGTAAATTCTAATTAAAAACCCTCCCCCCCTTTTTTCTTATTTTTGCATCTCCTTCGTATTTTTATGATTTTTATTTAAACTCTGTTTATCTGCCCACCTCACCTTTAAAACTATGTAACTTTTAAGATTTGATCTAATTTATTTATTTATTGAATTGTCTACGTATATACATATTACTGACACCATTATTCTTATCACCATATGCATAAACCTTATTATCAATATTTTGTTATCATTATAATCATCATTATTACTGACGTTCAAAACATTTGACACATTTTTATTATTATTTGATGCACAAACTCACCGTCATTGATTAAAATCTCTCTTTTAATTATAAACTGTGTAAATTAGAGTAAAGCCTGAAGAAGATCTCATTGAGAAAACAACAGTTTTGTTCGCTTATATTTCTTCTCCTGAAATTCGGTTTATCCACCAATCAGAGTTATCGGCAAGACCTACGAGTATAATCGAAGCAAAACTCAATTCTCAACGATTCTAGTTTGGATTGTATTTGCCGTAGTCTTCAATATTTCTAATTATCAAAGCTCAGTAGTCTCTCAAATGGGTCTTTCGAAGTATAAAATGATTTTGCCTAGTAGCAATGTTCATAACCTTTTAGCCTATGGTCAATTCGACTAAAAAAAGTTTTTTTGTTTAATAAATACGAGTTTGGTTAAGATGTAGGGCTAGTTGATATGTATCCACATATATATATTTATGTGTGTGTGTATGTTGGTCTCTGTTTCTGTTTGCTCTCTTAGTCTGTGACCATTTCACTTGTATGAACTTGTCTCCTTTAACAATGTATATTCCCCTTATATTATATATAATATGAGTGTTTGTTGACAGTCCGTTGCTTAGTGACATATATCCATATATGGTGGTTGTTGACATGTCTGCTATATTTCGCTATGTATATATGGATCGATACTTCATTATAATTAGCCATTCATGTTAAGACTGTCTAATGATTTGTTCACACCCTTGTCTGAACATTCATATATATTTCGCACTCACAATTTGTGTGACTTACACTTACCACTTTGGTGTGATACCACTTTTGCATTCTCCTTGTGTTTGGAAAATAGAAGTATCATCGCAAACCTAGTGGTCTTCTGATTTCCGCCTTCTTGCGTCAGGACTATTATTTTCTCGACCAGTCCATAACAATAATTTAGCGACGAGTACATAACACTAGTTCAATTAATTCTTCTTAAATATGATGGCTATATTTTTTTTTACTTCTAATATTATTTGTACATTTCTAGAAATGTATACCTATAGTTGTCGATCATACTGATGACAATCAAATCGCCAAGTTATTCGAACGAATTGAACGCGAACAAAATGGTCGTCTTGATATTTTAGTCAATAATGCTTTCAGTGCTGTTGGTTTCCTCTTAGAGAATGTGGATAAGCCTTATTTTGAGATTGACAGTAAATCACCTGGTGAAGCATGGGATATTATAAACAGTGTTGGTCTAAGGAATAATTATATTTGTTGTGTTTTGGCCACAAAACTAATGATCAAATATCAAGAAAAATTGAAAAATCAGGGTGTTGGAATTGATCAGTCAAGACCTGGATTAATTGTTAATGTCTCTTCAATTGGTGCTAGAATATATTTCTTCAATGTACCATATGGATCAGGTAAAAAGTTGTTTGTGCCATTAAGTAAATGTTGAAATTATATCAGCAGGCTTCTATGCCATCAGACTGTTTTTTGATGCATACCAAAATGATATGAGTCATACCTTGTATTATAAGTTGTTTAAATTTGAGTTTTGCTAAACAACCCAATCTCGCAGAGTTATAACTCAAAAGGGAGATACTTTGCACGTTTCACTGTGAAAATTTCTGGTGTTAGGAAGTAGCCGTTCAGTGTTCTTTAATGTTCTGCTCAACATTGTTACTTCTTAAATTTAAGAATTAAACAAAATTCTTTTCTTTTTTTTCAAGTGAATCTGAGATGGTTTGATTGCCTCCTGGTATACACAAAGGTGTACACTCTACTGTTTGTTTAAATTATCCAATATTTCGTATATGAAAACTTTATTTGATGTCAAGTACAACTTTATATGAATGACATCTCCAGGATACTTCATTGTTTATTAATAATATCGATGAATATATACAACTTTTAACTTCTTTAATATAGTTCTAATTGCTTATGAATTTGATCGCCCGATCTTTTTCCACTAATCCAAGATATGTGAAAACTTATGTAAAAAAAAAGAGGAATTAGTAATATAAATATGCAGTTAGAGTAAATTGTACGTGTCCACTGATATTATTATGAGAAGCAAATTGTTTTGAAAAGATCATCTCTTTATTAATGTTATTATTATTATTTATATCATTATATCCTTTTGTTCCTAGAGGAACATACGGCTTCAGCTGCCCAAGTCTCCATTGCCTTCTGTTTTCTGACAACATTTTCACTCCGCTCCAAGTCTGACCACATGCTTTCATCTCCTCCTCACATAACCTCGTCCAAATTACCCTCATCCATGCATTGACGACCAACTCGCCACCCGCTTCCCTTTCGGCCTGGTTCCACTCGAGAAATGACTTGTCTAGTGATGTCACTCAATTCATGGTTTCCTCAGTGTATGGCCAGCCAATCCATCTCCATTTCTTCCTGTCTATTTGTTTCACAATTAGTTCCTTCTGTGTTGCTTTGCTCACCGCCAAAGATTCCACCCTGTTGCTCATCTTTTCTGGCCAGCCATCTGATCTTGAGTGGTATTGAGCGAAGACAACTGTTAATGAAGGTCTGTAGGTTGTTTGAGATGCTCTTCATGACGCGCTGGCCAAGTCTCTGATCCGAATGTTAAGTAGCACTGACTGACTCTACATTGCAGTTGAAAATCCGGATCTTATTTTTGATGCTGACCAGTGAGTGATGTTGACCTCCACACAGACTTCAGAGTAATGAAAGCCTGTCTTGCTTTCCCGATTCTGGCTTTGATATCCTCGTCAGTTCCGTCAGCCTGTAGTTGAAACGATGCTTCCCATGTAGGTAGGTGGGTAGGTGAAGGAGGTTGTTTCTTTCACGTTCCTCCCATTTATGCTGGCTGATTGTTGTGTTTTGTTGTTGTTGTTGTTGCTGTTGGTGTTGGCCAGGAATCTTCATCACCTACATCTGTTTTCTCTATGTTCACTTGAAGTCCTATCCTCTCTGGATGTTTGTTTTGCCAGCTTGTTGCTTTCCACTTGCATATCTTCCAGTTTGTGGGAAATCAGACTTATATGCCACATCGGCGAAGTCCCGATCCTCCAAATTCTATTATTGTGTGAGTCCATTTTATGCCTGTTTCCTCATTGGCCGCTAGCTGTCTGTCGCATTATCCAGTCTACTGCAATCACGAAGATCATTGGCGATAATAGACTGCCAGCTTGCCTCAGCCCGTCCTCACTTCGAAGGCTTCCGTGAGTTTCCCGTTGTGGATTACTTGGAGGCACGCAGCATTGTCGTACAACTAACTGTTGGATGAGATGTATAATTGTCGATGGGAGCCGTTGGTAGTAGCGGATTAGTTCCCAAATCACCCTTCAATCGACGCTGTCGAAGGCCTTTCCAAAGTCGATGAAGTTGAGTGAGGTAGAGAGGTGACTTCCATTCCAAGCTTTGTTCAATGATGATCCGTAGAGTGGCGATTTGTTCAATACATGACTTGTTTCTCCTGAATCCAGCTTGTTCTGGTCGGAGTTTTTCATCCATGTTGGCTTGTTTGATTCTCTCCAGGATGATGGGGCTTCTTATTTTGCTTGGGATGGACAGCAGCATAATTCTGCACCATTTTTTGCATTGACTTAAGTATCCTTTCTTTGTTGCATTATTATTATTATAAATTGATACACCCTCCTTTGTATGAGAGTTTGTACAAATAATTTTTTTCCTTCACATTCCCAGTGGAATATAGGGCTTCAAGCTAGTGACTTGAAGTTTCTGTAGCAGTGGTAGTTATTTTTACAGGATGGAGTTGCTAGCCTCATGTCCAACCTTACCGCTTTACCAGTCCTACTACCGGCTTGGCGAGGTAAAGTAGGGCGTCTTTTGGCCGGGAATCGAACCTCGGACCCTGTGCTTTGTCCGCGAGCATCCTAGAGAAGAGGTTGTACAACAAACATTTCAAATCACCGAAAACCGAACAAGTGCAATCTAAATAAACCAACATCCAATGTCATATAAATATATATATGGAAAATCCAAATAAAAAGTGTAAGGCGTGTTTTCGGCAAGACAAAGCTGTCCACTATCACCTATGATATTCCTAGTTGTGGATTTGGTCATGCAACAGACAGTGTGTGTGTGGGAAGCGATAAGACAGCAATACACTGAACCACCGATAAGAAGATTTGGATTTCGCAGATGATATATATATTTGATGTTGCACTAACTCGAAGATTTGCAGGGTAAATCCAACAAACTGGCTGAGAAGATGCGATGAAACGATTCTAGGTGAATATAGAGAAGATGCAGGTGATAAGGATAACTAAACAACCAACCAACCAACAACAAAAACAACCAGCACCAATAAACATCAACGCGAGAAACTTGATAGAGGCCACTTCCTTCACCTATCTAACTAGGAAGCATCGTTTCAACTACAGCAATTCGGAAAGAATGAAGATGTCTAAGCCAGCCAGATAGAATAGCGAAGGCAGGATACGCACACACCTTCATCAACCTGAAATCAGTTTTGGAAATCTGCTGCATTCCGCAACATGATGAACAGGATTAGGATTTTCAATACAAATGTTATGTCACTTCTACATGGGTGAGAAAATTGGCAGGCTTCCTAACATCTTTTAAACTTTCAGCAGAGTTATTCTGTACTGACACACACACACACATTTTTAATCTGTCTGTTTGTTTCATTTCTCAGGTAAAGCTGCTCTGGACCGTATGACAACTGACATGGCTTATGATTTAAAACGTACCAAGACTGATGTGTGCATCCTAACCTTATGGCCTGGTCCAGTCCGTACAGAAACTGTTGTATCACAGGCAGCTGGAGGGACTTTAGAACTTGGAGAAAAAATAGTTTTTAATTATGATACTGGTATGTGAAGAATTGTGGCTTATTTTTTTGTTTATATTTCATCCTAACCAAGTACCACATCTAAAATGCACATTTATATTTAACTAGACGAATAAGGAAATTGGTTAGAAGGTACCAAAAGTGTTGAAGGCATCTCATAATGCAGACTGTTTTCTTTTTATGCGATTAGCTGACTTTTTAACAGTCTAACAAAGACCTGAAAATCTGCATATTTTTGACGGTATATACGTATATATTATTATTTCTTTGTGTTCCGAGTGTAATATATGGCTTCAAGCTTGAGCTATGAGGATTCATTATCAGTGGAGTTTGTTTATGTATATCAGTAATCGCCCACTGTAATAATTTCATTTCATTTGAGTGGACTCTAATAACTAGTGTGATATGTCTAGTCCTTTCTTTGGTGTAGACTGAATTCTATCAGACAGGTTTGTAATATGGCCACCATTCTACATGCTTCGCCACCACGGTGCACTATGAATTGTTGATATTAGATGATTGAAGGCGACCAGTAAGAAACCTTGGAACTGGGTTTCATGTTTGTCTACACTAACCAGTCAGTAAAACGAATCTGCAACGCGTTAAAAAAACTCTTGTCTCTCCTGAGATTCAATCCCGCGTCACCCAGTGCTACCAGCAGTCAGAGACGTTACCACTGAGGTCACTGTTGCCCTCCTGTAGGATTGGATTGGGCACTTTGATTGAACACTACAATAGTAACTAGTGTGACGTGTCTAGTCCTCTCATTGGTGCAGTCTGAATTCTATCAGTCAAGTGTGCAGTGTGGTCACCATGGTCACAGCGTACTATGAATTGCTGACCCAAGCTCGAATCTTAGAAGAGACATGAGCTCCTTCACGGCTGCAGATATGCCTTGCTGACTGGTGGGTACCGACTAGTAGGAAACTTAAGTCGAAGGCTTCCTGCCGACTGCCTCCAACCATCTAATATCATCAAATTTCATTTCGTTTTTATGATGTAAAAGGATAATTACAATGTTCATTATTTTTTCTTTACTAATTCTGTCAATATCTTGTCTGTCCTTGACCTCTCTCACTTTGGTTGAATAACTTATCACATGATTAAATAACCAACTCTATTTATGCCTGATTTACCCTAGATTAATTTTACATGATAAAAACACGTTAAGTGCAAGACTTGGGACTGTGATATTCTTCCAAGCTCATTGACAGTATTTTCTTGCGTACGGATGATAAGTTACATTTCATAGGATTTGACTGTATATTCTTGTCTATAAAACGTGATGGAAATCCATTTTCTGTTAGGATTTTCCTCAAAAGATTTAACTCACAGTATCACGGCTGCATATTCGCGGAATGCGAGTGGCAAGCTACTGGATCAGATTTCGTTTTCACTACCAACGGGTACTCTACCCAGCTGTAGAAATTTGTCAGTTAAACATGCCATGACAGCTTTCGATAAATCGATCTCTTCACAGTTCCATCGGTCCTCCTTGATAAGTTCACATGCAGTAAATAAATACTACACTCATTCCCTATTTCGAGTGTGAATTTCATCGAGTACTACTGTGTTACATATTTGACAATCAACTATGGTCATTCGCGGCTGGTAAATAAAGTTCTTCTCTGAAGTTTGACCAGGTTGTGCATTCAGCTGACTTGCAGTAGTGTTTGGCTGAAGTAATTAATTTTACCAGTACATGATCAATAGTGACTAGTACGATTATAACTGGAATTTTTACACCTATGATCTACAATTTGGCTATGATTCACCCTAAGCGAATAATTCTTCTAGAGCCTTAATGAAACCTTAAATATAAATAAAGACATGTGAACTACTTATATTCATCGATTCAGATTTTACCAACTATTGTATTACTTAATGTTATTCAGATTACCTACTATGGATCATTCAGTGAACTTGATTACAGACCTTTGTAAAAATTATATTTGTAAAATCTCAACGAAATTGAAATGAGTAATTTCAACGTTTCATGTGTTCGACAGTCTGCTCCGAGCTTCTTCAGGGAAATTAATCGAAATTAACATAACAGAGGTTTATATGCAGAAAAGGGGAACATCTCTTGTTTTGAGAAACTTTGTCCAATAATATGAATCATGAAACAGGTATCAACATGTATAATCAACAGAAAATTCTATGAACTGTGATGAAAATTTGATCTCAGGGCATCAAAAATTAGTGTACTGCTTAGTAAAAAGAAAACCAGATGGTAAATTTAATATAAACATTTTCAGAAAGCCGACAAACTCGGACAGATACCTAGACTACTCACTATTCAGCACATCCCTTTACCACCAAAGTAACCGTGGCCAAGAATCTGATTAACAGAGCCACACGTCTAGTTGCAGAGGAGGAAGATATTAGCAAGGAACCGAAATCGGTTCAATCCACTTTTGAATCAAACAATTATCCTAAAGCCTTCACAAAAAAATATTTAAAATGTGAAGATAAGAATGGATGGAAACCTCTTGCTAAGAAGTGGGTCGGTACAGTGGTGATTCCTTAACACAACGAAACATCGGATGAGATAAAGCGAATCCTTAACAGCTATGACATAAGAGTGTATTCTCGTGCAACTGACATCTTACACTAATCACTGGTGAAGGTTAAGGATGAAATAGAAGAAGAAAACTAACAGAATTGTGTGTACCAGATCAACTGTGTAGAATGTTTGTGACGCCATATGTGTACGATAAACTTCCAGACAAGTAAATATGAGAGTGAATGAGCATAAGCAATGTCTACAGATGGTTCCAAAGACCTCTACAGACCTGAAGAGGTTAGAAAACAAATCAGTGATTGCACTGTATTCGATAAAAACGGGACACAAAATTGACTTTGATAGGACTGAGGTTCTACAGAAAGGTTTTGGTTCGTATAAAGAAAGACTGACTGTCGAAGTCCTACATAAATGGGTAAATCCCAACATTTTGGAGAGATGTGAATGTGTGATATGAGCTGATGCATAACAAATCCTGATTAAATGCATTTAACATATGGTTCAAATTACAATCACTATTTATATAAGCCAACTATGTTAATTAGCCTAGAAGTGAAGGCTCAAAACTCTGTTCTACATATTTTTGTTTGACTGGTTCACATATAACCAGAACATACCTTGAATTAATATCAGTAAAAAGTTTGAGCATTGTGGATTAGATCAAATAAAGTATTATTATATATTTCAATAGTATATACACACAATGATAAGTTTTGTTATTGGTAATTTTGCTCAAAATATTACCAATAACAAAACTTATCATTGTGTATAAACTATTGAAATATAATTACACTTTATTTGATGCCTTGAATTGTTATAGGCTTGGTTTTTATAAACTTCGAGGGCAAAATGTATTAATGAGGGTTTTTTTGCTGGGTAAACATTATACTTTGAGATCATTGTAATAAAGAAGTATCAATTAAAACATGATTCTCTGGAAACCCTTTTTATTTCTGTAAGTTCCCCTAGTATTTTGCACAATGATAATTCTGTGTTTTTAATATCAGCATATAGTGTAAAATACATTGTTAAATCATTCAAACACGTAGAAACAAATGTGTCTATATACTACTAGTTCACTCAGAATCCTTATTTGTTTTGAATTACTTAGCAATATATTTTAATACGATAAGCCATACAATTCATATAAATTAGGAAAGCTGTTAGTAGACGAAACATTTTCAACAAATATGCGATCAGGATACAATTCTTTATGCTTACTGTCTTGTTTCTACCAATGAACAGATTCTTTGTGTCATGAATACAATGCTATAATTACTGCCTTTGTATCTTTAATACTTCGTTAATCTAGTTCATGGTGCAAATTGAATGCAAGTAGAATTTTCGATTACAGTTGGTTCATAAAGAAGATTTGAAAAATAATGTAGTTACAGCAGTATTTTGATAATTACCTAGTTACCAAGTTTTATGAGTAACAATATTATAAGATAGTAAAATTCTGGTTCAGTCAACTGAAAACCTGGGTGTACTGGACAGCTGTTTAGTCCTAGTTTGGGACTGTTTAGCAGTATGCACCCGAACCCAAGTGAAAAGCAACAAGCTGGCAAAACAAGCATCCAGAGAGGATAGGACTTCAAGTGAACATAGAGAAAACAGATGTAGGTGATGAAGTTTCCTGGCCAACACCAACAGCAATAACAACAACAAAACACAACAATCAGCCAGCATAAATGGGAGGAACGTGAAAGAAACAACCTCCTTCACCTACCCACCCACCTACATGGGAAGCATCGTTTCAACTACAGGCCGACGGAACTGATGAGGATATCAAAGCCAGAATCGGGAAAGCAAGACAGGCTTTCATTACTCTGAAGTCTGTGTGGAGGTCAACATCACTCACTGGTCAGCATCAAAAATAAGATCCGGATTTTCAACTCCAATGTGAAGCCAGTCAGTGCTACTCACCATATGGATCAGAGACTTGGCCAGCGCGTCATGAAGAGCATCTCAAACAACCTACAGATCTTCATTAACAGTTGTCTTCGCTCAATACTACTCAAGATCAGATGGCCGGAGAAGGTCAGCAACAAGGTTGGAGCGAACTAACACAGCAGGAACCGATTGTGAAACAAATAGACAGGAAGAAACGGAGATGGATTGGCTGGCCATACTCTGAGGAAACCATGAATTGAGTGACATCAATAGACAAGCCATCGCTCGAGTGGAACCAGGCCGAAAGGGAAGCGGATGGGTGGCGAGTTGGTCGTGAGTGCAAGGGTGAGTGACTTGGAGGAGGTCATGTGAGGAGGAGATGAAAGCATGTGGACAGACTTGGGGCAGGCTGAAAAAGTTGGCGGAAAAGTGAAGGCAATGGAGACTTGGGCGGCTGAAGCCGTATGTTCCTCTAGGAATTAAAGGATATAATAATAATAATAATACCCGAACCCAGCAGCTTCTGGTTACAAGGAGACGCCCCTAGATCCTTCAGCCAATGTGACCCGATCCAATGGTCTACGAATACCAACTTCATGAGAAAAGCACAGTTTATTAGATAACATATGAGGCAATTATTTCGAGATGAAAATTATTTGTAAAAAGGCGTTTACTTATTTCAGCGAAACTTTATGTCTCAGTGAAATTAAGTTCAATATGTGCACTGGAAACTAGGATGTGATAATTCGCTTGCTTAACGACAAAACTCTCTGACCTTATTTAGAAAATAATGGCGATATACGAAGGTCATTATACTAGATGTAGAATACGAGCCTATGTAAATTGCCTGGAATTGAGTTAGCGATAGCAACACTTCCACCGACAACAGGTTCACTTGTGTTTTTTCTGGCTAACAAAACCAATAAGAAATAGATTTCTCCATGTACACTTTGTAGACCAACTTTTAATGTGCGACCTAGTTTGTGTTTCTCTGAAGTTATGTCGTAGCTCATTATACGAGTAGAAATCTGACAATCAGACTTTGTTACCTGCTACTGTCCTAATTCAGTATGTTCAGCACTGACAGGTAAATATCTAGCTGGGCAACTACCGTGATGACAAACTGATGGTCACATATCATTTATCCACCTGGCATTTAAGCAGTACCAGTGATATTGATTAGCAGATCGATTCCATTAATCAACTGGTAGACCACTGCGTATATGAACAACAAAGTGTATTATTTACGAATATCTGAGTAGTTCATAAAATTGTATAAACATTTTGTTCTGCTTGATAACAACTTTTTTATGAGATCGTCTATTACACTAAAGTTAAATTCTCGAGTGAGGTCAAAGATACTGATGTCCTTCTACAATTCCAGACGTTGCCATTTTGTATTTTACTGTCTGAAGTTAGCAATCAAGCAATGCAAAATTCTGTAAGTTGATCTCATCAAACGAAAATATTTTTTTAAAAAATTTTTAAAAAGTACAAATACGTGACCCAATTAAATTTTCATTAAAAAAGAAAATTAAAACTCACATAAAATTTAAAATATTTTGTTAAACGAATATACTAAATCCAATGAAGCATTGATCAAGAGTGCACTTTTAAATTAAAGCTACTAATACTTAAGGACTCTAGAACAGGCTTAATGCCTAGTAGAATGTGAATTGCTGTTAATCTACTTCCGCAAAGTACACCTCAAGGATGAATATGACGTTTTTACTAGGACATTTCATATACCCCTTGAGAATAGCGTTAGACTCAGATCGAAAAAGTAAAATTATCACCTGTTAACTTAACTGTTCAGTGCGTATTCTAAACGAATATCCTGAACTTATTCTCTCTTCCGATCTCTCCTGGTCTTCCCATGTCTTGGCAATCTCCAGTAAAATATTCCGCTTGACATTTTACATTAAGAAGTTAAGGCACTCAAGTATAACTCAACCCCTCCTCTTACAGTTCATAAACTCTTGCATCCTACCTATTCTTCTTTATTGTTCACCCCTGCTTATTCTTTCCTGGTTTGCTGCTTAAAAAGGACTATGTCACAATTCGTAGAATACTAAAGACTGTCAGTAGGGTGAGTGGTGTCCCAGTGGACCACATAGTTAACGTCGTTGTCGATAGGCACTTGACTTCGTGCAATAGATTTGCTAAAGAGATTTCGTCTGACTTGGAGCATCTACTTTACCCTCAGCTTTCACATCAGGTAGAACAAGAAGTAACTTCAGAAAACTGTATGCTCGCATGTCTAAGTATAGAAATTCTATGATACCATACTTGGAACGTATTTTATGTAGTGAAAAATGGTGTCAGGAAAGAATTAACTAACCTTTTTTCATCTAGTAAATACACAATTTCCTCCATCCATCCTTATATACCTTCAAGTTTTACTTTTATTACTTCTATTATATTTATGGTCCTGTTACTTCTCTGTTTTATTCTCATAATTGCAAACACCAACTTATCTCCATGACGGCTGTAATCTTTGTTTTTCCCCTCACCATATCATGTAAAGAGAACATTATATTCAATATTTTTAAACATGTTAGGATTTCTATACCACATTGCCAATACTGTGTGACACAAGCCAACGGGAATTTTCACTTGTATTCTTATTATTATTACCCTAGGTGTTATCATTATTATTGCTATTTCCATTTTATATGCTGCATGTTTTTGACACTACCTCTATTGTAAATGTGGAAAATTTTCTGTGTGATTGATTTTAATTATAATTTGAGGAAATTAGATGCAATATTGGTGCGTCGGTGGCATAGCAGTTAGGACGCCCGACAACCATGCACATGGTCCGGGGTTCGATCCCCGGCCACAGGACGCACTACTTTACCTCGCTAAGCCAGAAATAATACTGGTAAAGAGAAAAGGTTGGTCATGAGGCTAGCAACCCCATCCTGTAAAATAAACACTTCTACAGAAACTTCAAGTCACTAGCTTGAAGCCCTATGTTCCACTGGGGAACATCAGGCATCAGTCGAGTGCTAGGCAAGGAGGGGAAATCAATGAACAAGGCGGTGAAGCTACATCGATTGAAATGGCTAGGAAACGTGTCGCACACGTCTCCTAGCCATCGCCTTCCTCGACTACGGGCACTGTTAGCCGACATAGGATGTATCAGGCTGGAAAGAGCTAGTGGTGGTCAAACCAAAACATGGCCTCATCAGTCAATAAAATCAACAATAGTTATTGTAAGCTAACCACGCAGGGAGGTGTAGACTTCCTAGTTAGGGTCCTCAAAATTTTAAGAACCAGTGAAAGCTGGAGACATTTGGTGATATGGTTGAAAATTGTTCTGAGTGGCTCGGATGCATTAACTCTTTGTGATCTGCCCTGTCCATTAAAAGCCTATTGTTTTTTCACCTTACTATTCTTTCTCCCTCACATTTCTGCTTGTTATCCTTCTTTCGAACTTCATCGTTCTCCTTTCTCTTCCTTTGTGTGTTACATGGAGTATGGCAACTCGAACCGCTGTACTTCTTTGCAAAGTTCTATGTTGAAATGAGTGAGTCACTGGGAAAACCTCTATCGCTCATAATGTGTTAGGCATCAAACACAAGAATGCCTTTCAAGTGTTGGTTTGTAGAGATTTGGTTGGTTACAGGATTTCATCATGAGCTGACATTGGTTACAGAACCATTGGAAAACCTGAGAGTACTGGACAGCTGTTTCGTCCTGGTTTGGGACTCTTCATCAGTACGCACCCACCGTGATTCGAACCCAGGACCTTCTGGTTACAAGGCGAGCTCGTAGACCATTAAGCCACTGGGACCCGATCCAATGACCCACGAATCCTAACTTCTGCCAGAAGTTCCTGGGTTCGAATCCCGGCGGATGCTGAAGAGTCCCAATCTATGACGGAACAGATGTCCAGTTCTCCCACGTTTTCCAGTGGTTCTCTAACTGGTGTCAGCTCATGATGAAACCTTGTAAACAAGAATGGCTTGTTTATGGTTTGACGTAGCCTAGCCACCACATTATCCATCTGATCGCCAAATGTCTAACAGAGTTATAAGTTGGCTTAACTGGTTACCATTTCACTACTTATTGGTGGTTAATTTAGTGAACTTAGTTTGTCGGTGGTGACTAGCAGTGGAATCCAGGATGCGCATTTCGTCCTACCTGAGACTCTTCAGCCAACTGGATGTACCTGCATTCCCCAGTCATTGAGTGATGATGTCCCCATCGAGACTCGAACCCAGTGCCCATAGTTTCAAACGCCAAAGTATTATCCACTAGACCACCTGGGCCACGAGAGCCACCTCTTATCCAACGGGTTATATTAATTTATTCGAATTTTTTTAGATTTTCCCGTCGATTGATTGGACCGAATTGTTCGGTCTCAGATTGACATGTCGACTTCTTGTACAGATACTTCGACGATGTCTGGGCATTTAATTAGAGTTTAATTTGTGGATGGTGACTAGCAGTGGAATCCACGACGCGCATTTCGTCCTATTCAGTTAAATTCAATGAATTGTTCTAGATTATGCTTTAATTGCATATTTAGCCCAACGAATTTATTTGTCTTTATTTCTTGTACACAGCTGAAACACCACAGTTATCTGGCAGAGTAATTATCGCATTGGCAAATGAAAAACGCGACAAATTGTTTTCAAGAGCTGGTCAAGTCATTCTAACTTGTGATGTGGCGGATGAATACGACATCAGAGAACCGGACGGCAGGAAACCAATCAATCTGCGTTCATTACAATTTGCTGTTAAACAACAACATCCTTTGCTTAGTTATTTCATACCTGGATTCCTACGTATTCCGCTTAGTTTTGTGACATATTTCCTTGGTCGGAAATAGTCGTTTATATGTTGCCACAACAAAAACAAATTCATTCTAATAACAAGTAACAGAATACTCAGGGAAAAATCTGATGCAAAACTTATTTATTTATTCTACTATTAAACGCTTCATTTTAAATGAATACTGATCAGTGCATCGTAGATCAATATTTTTGGAAATACTTCAGAGAAAGAAGTGCTTTTTCCTTTAATTTCATGTGTAATAAAATAACCGAATCATTTCTTGTTAAAATTCAGTTTTGATTTCCCCGTTGATTGATTGGACCGAAATTTTCAGCCTCTGTTGACATGTTGGCTCCCTGTGAGGGTGAATTGACGATGCCTAAGGATCAGCTTGAAGTAATTTGGTAAATGGTGACTGGTCGTGAAATTCAGGATGTTCATTTCGTCCTGTTTGGGACTCGTCAACTGGAGGCACCTGTATTCCCCAGTGAGCGAGGGCTTCCCCATTGAGGGTCGAACACAGTGACCATCATTTCAAACGTCAAAGCGGTTACCCACTAGACCACTTGAACCATGGCAGCCACTACTTGTGCATCGTGTGTCAGTCATTGTTTGTTTTAAATTGACGAGTCCCAAGTAGGACAAAGTGTGCATCCTGGATTCCACCGCTGGTCAACATCCACCAAAATGAATTGATAATTTTCTGCAAATATGATTTTTTTACAATGCATTAGCATCATTTAGGTATGATCTCCTGGTGTATAGATACCCAACTGAATTGTGTAATTAGTCATTATTCCTATAAACTTTTATCGTTTATATGCATTGTATATATCCCCTGCCGACGCACACCTGATATCTATGGTCGGCCTGCGAAATTCGGGCTACCGATATCCATGCTGAAAATTCCATACTTGGGCCAAAAATACAGTGTGGAATCAAGCTGTAAATCAAAAAATAAAAAAAATAATAAAATAAAACTTAACAGTTTTGAGGAAAGGTGGTAAAAGTGGAAATACCTAAATACGATGGAGTTTTTTTCACCACAGAAGTATGACTAAGTTCATGACATGAACAGTGAACAACGCGTATTGATTATTCTACAACAAACAATAAACTAACTAGTGATCTTAGCATATTCAAATACTGTATAACATAACATAAGTTGACCTAATTACCATTTCTCACTATTTTAATCGTGTATGAGACAAACTGTATAAACGCTGTCTATTGTAAAACTGACTAAATATTCAGGGTTGAAAAAAATTTGACTATAAACTTGACCGATTCCAATGAAAAGTTATTATTATTGTTCCCTTGGGTTCCTAGTGGAACATAGGGCTTCAACTGCACGTCTCCACTTGCCACTTCTGTCTTCCTTCTGCCGTACTTTTCACCCGCATCCATGTTAGTCCATACTCTTTCAACTCATCTTCACACGATATCCTCCATGTCACCCACCCTCGCACTGACGTCCCACACGCCGCTTCCCTTTCGACCCGTTTCCACTCAAGCAATTGCCTGACCCGCGCGCGATGTCACCCAGAGGCGGCCTCCTCAGCGAGAGACTGTACAATCCATCTCGACTTTCTCCTGCATGTTTCTTGGTTGGCGATTGGTTCTTGTTTTGTTTGTTCCTTCCCATAATTTCTTGTTGGTGATTCTTTCCGGCCCGACCATCTGATATTCAGTATAGAGCCAGCGAAGACAGTTAGTTGTTGATGAAGGTCTGCAACAGGCTGTTGGAAATATTCTTTGTGACCCACCCGCCAAGTTTCTGATCCGTATAGAAGAACTGACTGACTTGACGTTTGTATTGGAAATCCTACCGAATTTTGTTGCTGATTCTGGCTGAGTGACGAAGATTTCCAGATTGGATTGGTTTCAGGTTGATGAATGTGTGTGTTTCTCGCCTTCCCGATTCTCGCCTCGATTTGACATCCTCGTCCGTTCCGACTTCCTATAGTTGAGACAATGCTCCCTAGATAAGTGAGTGAATGAAGTAACCTCGTTCCAATCCCTCCCACACGTTGATGGTGATTGACGCTGGATGTTTCTGCTGTCGTTGTTATTGTTGTTGGTGGTTATTTTCATCACCTCCGTCTTGTCTATGTTCACATGGAGTCCTGTCTTCGCCGGCTGCTTCTTCGACCAGTTCGTCGGTCGGTTTCGCTTGTAAGTCTTCGATTTTGTTTGTGTCACATCAAACATAAATCATCCACGCGCGAAATCCAGGTCTTCTAGGTTTTTCACGTCGGGCCAGGGTATCCCTATCTTCTCGCTTCCCACTCACTGTCTGACGCATAATCCAGTCAGTCGACCACAATTAGGAATATCATTCATTGGTGATAATGAGTACCCTTGTGTGACTCCTGTGTTTACTCCAAACTCCTCACTGAGTTTTCCGTTGTGGATCACTTGACATGTGCCGCCGTTGTCGTACAGCAGCTGTTGAATAAGGTTGATGAATATTTGGGCACCGTACGCCGTAGTACTCCAGTAGTTTCCAAATTACTTCGCGGTCAACACTGTCTGTCGAAGGCCTTCTCAAAGTGTATAAATTTGAGGTATAGGTTTGATTGGCATTCCATGCTTTGTTCTGTGATGATGATGCGTAGAGTTGCGATTTGGTCAGAATATGATTTGCCTTCCCTGAATCCAGCCAACTTGTTTTGGTCGGAGTTCTGTATCCAGTGGGTCCTTTATTCTCTCCAGGATAATGCGACTCAGGATTTTACTTGGCGTTGACAGGAGGCTTTTTGATACCTATTTATATTTATCTGGGCTGCTGAAGATATCTCATTACCACCCAATTTCTAAACCTGCATCACTGAGTTAAAGTCTTTACCAGTGATGATTGATGTGCATGTACAGTTAGTTTATGAATAGGCCTCCGGATAACCTACATTTCTATACTAAACATTGTGATAGGAAAAATGAAACAGAAGTAAACTTGAATATTTAACTCAGTTCCCTATGAGCAACTTAATATTCTAAGAATCTGCAGCTGCTTTCCGATAGAAATAACATGTATAACAGTCATGAGAAGGGGTTAAACCTCATGAATAGTTGTTTCAAAGTTTAGTGTATTTACCCTACCTTATATATTACTATTAAGGTACAAACGGTACAATATGGGCGCCAACAGATGTAACACACAAAAATTAAAAACAATAATATAAGGAAAATAGAAACAGAGTAAACAGGGGACAATATCCACAAAGCAATTAAGCGTGCTTTTCAGGAGCACTTAAATGTAGGTTTCCTTACCTTAATTTACTTCCAGAAAGGGAAAAAAGGGAGAAATCGCATCATATTCACCACCGATTAATGTTCTTGGCTATAAATCACAACATCTCAAGCCTGCGATTGGAATTACCCAGGGAGTCGTGATTTACAGATATCCTTTATTCCATGGTGCTCAGTTACATGCTGACCAACTTTCCTTTTTCCACCCAGTCCCAAGCCAATGAAACAGCGAACCATATAACAGTTGCTAGGATGATATTTGTAGTACATGTCCAAGCCACCGAAGTCAGTGTTGCAATATAACAACACTAAATGTAAGATAAAAAAACACGATTCTGGACCTCATAATTACTTATATGATGGTGCCTTCAGCATCATGGAATTCGACAGCAGCAGCGAGGATCGAACATTCACAGTCTCTTCACCTCAATGAAATCAGGTTTCACGGGCATAATGTGAGACTTCGCGCACCGTAGTGTAGCGAACCCGACCTTTGACAGCCAGGCTAAAGACGCTAGTGGTGGCTAGAGATGCCATTCGTTACACAACTACCTACATACACGAACTTACCGACGACCTCAATTGACCCACCTGAGAAGATAAGCGCAGATACAGGCTCCTATCAGTCTGACAACATTACTTTGCACCTAGATGGTGCAAAAGACTTACTATAATTGCAGCCCAAATAAAAATATTTGGTGGCATTTTGGGGGATTTCGGCACTTCCTCTTAGAATACCCCCAAATCCTTAGTAACCCAAAGATGACTCCCAAACTTCTCCGTAATAACCCAAAATCCTCACAAACTCCAGATGTCCAACTTATTTTTTAAGGAATTTCCACGAATGATGGCGTCTTTAAACTGCCAACAAAGAGCATATGCAAAACATAATGAAAAATGGATATATTGTATGCCTAATTTATTTATGCAATTGAAATATGAGTACATCGAAATGTTAGTCATTCCTCGAAGTTCAAGCATCCAGTTCATTTTCTGTATTCGTGTCAACAATGAGGTAGAAATATGACTATTGATTTTATGTAATAAATTATAGGAGGGATATCATTTGCTGGTAGGTTTTGAACTCAGCTAACACTAATGATCCTACTATTTCAGTTATTTCAATAGGAAACCAGCCTCCACAGTCAATGAAGTCAGAAAGTAATAACCCTATATTATTGTTTCCTTTAGTTCCCAGAGGAACAAAGGGCTTCAGCTGCACGTCTCCATTGCGTTCGATTATCTGCCAACGTGTTCACCTGGCTCCACGTCTGCCCACATGCTTTCATCTCGGAAGAAAGTGTAAAGGATAAATGATAAACGAGACAATCTCTGAGAAGAAACAGGCCCTAATTACCTCTCAGGATAGAAGGCTGGAATGTTGGGAGGGGAGACTTCTATGAGAAATTCAACTAGTCCACAGCCATACTAAATTCATCCAGCAACCATCAGTTACCTGAATGGAATGTAGGCGCCTGAGCTAAAACTGTAATTGAAGTTACAGAAGCTGTCTCAAATCGCCATCTCCTGCATACTTATTGAGCGATCGGCTCTTGGTTGGTTTACTCCCAGCTAGCCAGCCAGAGTTTCTTGTCCCTAATGCTTTATGGCTGGCCATTTGATCTTCATTATGTAGCCAGTGAAGGCAGCTGTGGATAAAAGTCTGTAATTTGTTGGAAATCCTTCTCGTGACACGCTGCCCATGTTTCTAACCCGTATATAGAACAACTGACTGACTCAATTAACATTTGGATTGAAAATTCGAATGTCGGTCTTTATGCCGGGGGCATAAGATTTTCAAACTGGTTTCAGGTCGATGAAGGCGTGTGTATCTTTCCTTTCCGATTCTGGCTGACTAGCTTTGACATCTTCATCCGTTCCAAATTCCTGTATTTGAAATGATGCTTCCCAGGTAAGGGAAGGAAGTAACCTTCCTCTCTCAGGTTTTTGCCCTTTGATCGTGACTGGTGGTGTTTGTTGTTGCTGCGTGTTTTAGTTGTTGGTTGGTTATCTTCACCACCTCAATCTTCTCTGTGTCCACCTGGTTTCTTGTCTTTGATGACAGCCAGTCTTTGCTTCCAGTTTGTTGGTTTTCACCTGCAAGTCATCAAGTTTGTGTGACATTAGAAGTGAATCATTCACATGCGAAATTGAGATCTTCTAGAGTCATTTTGTCAGTGGTCCAGAGTATTCCTGTCTTCTTAATTCCAACACACAGTCTGACGCATAATCCAGTCCACCGCAATTAATAATATCACTGATGATAATAAGCGGCCAGCCTTGTCTTAATTCAATATTCACTTCAAAAGCCTCACTGAGTTTCCTATTGTGGATCACCTGACACGTACCACTGTCACATAGTCAGCTATTGAACGAGGTTGATACAAATTTGGTGCAGAGCACCCCGTAGTGTTGGAGCAGTTTCCACATTGCTTCGCGGTTAACGCTATCAAAGGCTCTTCCAAAGTTGATAAGGGCAGGGTAGAGGTTTGACTACCATTCTATGCTTTATTCTGTGATGACAATGCGTAGAGCTGCAATTTGACCAGCACATGATTTGCCTTTTCTGAATACAGCTTCTTCCATGGCTGACGGATTTCTGTATCCG